CATCAGGGGATGTTCATGGGAGAAACCAAAAGCAGCAGAAGGGAGGAAAGATTCTCACTTGTGGGGTTTTTTTTATTATTTTTAAGCACCACATTTCAGTGCTACCAGAGAAATAAACACTTTGCACAATTTTATCTCTAGATTCTAAACTTACAGTCAAGCTTACAGTGACAGATCTAACAAAAAGACATATGCTAACACAATAATTAAAAAAATGTTTCCACATGAAGCACCATCACCACTATTTCTCATTATCCATACCTTCATAAACAGCTTTATTGGATAATCCCAAAGCTGGCACAGTTGCACCTTCTGGAAGATCTGATGATTCCTGAATTAAAGAAAGAAAGAAAGATTGCACACAGGTTGTCATGTACGTTCAGATTTCAACAGCCACAGCTTAAGGAATCCCTGTGATAAAAAACAGTGACTCTTCTAGAGAAGTGAAGGGGGCCACTTGGGAAAAATTCTCATTCCCTGGAGAGAACAATGATCAGAACTCTGCTAGGAAAACAAAAGGCCTCAAGCTCAAGCATTTTGCTGTAAAGCACGCATCTTCATCCCTAATTACAGGTTTTATTTTACAATTTCATTTATTCTAAGATATACATGATAGTTAATCAACTGAGAACTCTGCAGTTTTTAACACAATGGGTTTGGGAAATAGCCTGTTCTGAGGTGAAACAATAAACCAGCATTTTGGAAAAGGGGACTGAGAGTGAGTGCCTGTGCTCACAACTTCAAACACAACCCAGTACATAGTACAGAGAATTGGCTGGAGTATGTGGCTGTTCAGAGCAGTACAGAGGAAAAAAAAAATTATCAGACAGAAAATACTTCCAAAGGTATGGGGAAAAGACAAAACTGAGAAAGGGCAAGTGAACTTGTGGCTCTTTGGGTAGAGATAGAAAAAGATTAGATTTAATAGCTGTAAAACCCCTTATAGAGTCTGGAAGGTTCAAATAAAGACTACTTTACAGAATTTGGACGACAGCTTAAAATATTTATTGAAATGTTTATGATTTGACAAAAAAATGAGACACACTAGTCTAATGCCTCTAAAACAATAACAGTTCTTTATTAGAACCCAAAGTATAATACAATCCCATGGATTTGAACTGATTATAACTCTATTCAATCCTTTTTGAATATAAAGCTGTATTTTTTTAAGTATTTTCTTAGGAAGGTGTTTGAGCTAAATTAAGAAAAAGCTTACCCACTTGAATAAAAAAAAAGCATTCACAGAAAACAATTTCAATAAAGCTATTTAAAGAGGAACTGTATCATTAAAGCTCATAAAGCCTTCCTCTTTAAACAAAGCCCATGTGAAACACTTTGTGATATCATGGATCAAAAAATAGCACTCAGAGGAAGAGCTGATAAAGAAAGTCTACATAAAAGTAAAATAATGACATCTGCCAGCATTATAAAAGCACAATGTTATTTGTATTATATCAACAACGCAAATGCTTGCAAAGTCTTAGGGAATTAAAGGACTAAATAGCTACTTACGCAACTTCCTGCTATCAAAAAAGTGAACAGATTTCTTTCCCAGATATTTCAGTTGTTAAACAAAATGGAAAGGCTAAAAAGCTGCACAGAAAACACCATTTCTGAGCCAGAAACACAAAGGGCATGCAAGGCACTTTACAGAAGCAGCTATCCTGAACGAAGTCTGCTCTCCAAAATGCAGAGAAACTCAGAATTAGATCTTAAAGCAAATGGAGAACAAAGAAAGCACAGCAAGTGTGCAGCCATATCTTTCCCCAGAGTAGGAAACCTACAAACAACTAAGAATTGGAATATAAAAGCCTCAAGAGAATTTCCAATGCCAAAAGGAAATAACGCATGAACAAGTACATGTTTATAAATATTTATATGTAGCAACTAACAGCAGTGCTGGAAGCTCTACTATTTTCAAACATACAATTAAAAACCACACCACCACATAAACACACAACAATAATTACATCTAGACAAGACTACTAACACCCTTAAATTAAGAAGAAGCACGTTCTCAGGCTTTATTGTTTGCTTTCAAATCACCAAGTGTGTGCAGCAGTCTACTTGATCTGACTTATTTAAATACTCTTAGCAATCTTCATACACCACGTGTTGTTTAGTTTCAAACACAACCTGTTTTTTAGGACAACACCGTAAAAATACAAACAAAACAACACACACGGAAGCAAACAGAAGGGAAAGGAAAATAAAGATTAAGGTTTCAGAACTACTAAGATATTTTTTATAACGGAGTTCAGTGCAATTTGACATTTTGTAAAACATTAGTTTTATTTACATGCAAGAGGACTGGCTTCATTTAGCATTGCTTTAGCACACTTACGTGGGAGCACAGCTTCTCCACTGGAATGCCAGTGATGTTACTGAAATTCTCTACAAAATTCTTGGGAGCACGAAAGACTCGAAGCACTTTTTCATCTGCCCCTGACACAAACTGAAACCGGCCAATCATCGCCAGACAACGCATGTCGTAGCCATGTACTTGAGGCCTTGCAATTTCATGCCAGGTCACCTAAACAAACAGACACACAGTTAGCACACAAGTCTTAACCATAGAAGCAGCAGGACTTTTAGTTCCAAACAAGCACAAATACCATACTCGCTCACTTTATTAACGTAAGCGCAAGTTAATATCGACCTTCTACTTACATTCATAAAACTGATGTATGCTCATCTACATCAGTTACACTCTATTTTTCCAGCAAATGATTCCTGTAATTAGTGAACTGCATCCCTGCACAGATAGGTTTGAGGCATTTGCTTACCCTTGTCACTAAGGGAACACCACGCTTACTGCAAATTCTTTAGGCTAGTCAGTCAGGAATAGGACATAATTTGCTTAAACAAAAGGAGGACTGTATGCTACTTACTACGTTCAGAACTGTGGCTCTGCAAGACACAAGGAAGACAGTGATAATTACCTTGCTTCTTTCATCTGTCTTTCATGAAACACAGCAGCACCGCTGCCAGCAGGCTACAAGTTCCTACTTCCTCCCTTTCTTAGAATACTTCATTTTAGTGAGATCATTTAATAGAAGCTTTGCAGGAAACTGACAGAAGAGGAATAGCTTCTTGTAGGAAAAACGTCTGGAAAATCCTGATTTTAGAAGAGTTTTTCATTTGAAGTATTAATCTTTCTTCCAGTTTCCTGAAATATTCATATCCATGCTTCAAATACTAATCTAAGAAAACCAGAATTAACAGCTGCCCAGAAATTAGTTAGGAAAGTTGGTTCTGTAGTCACACAAAGCAAATATCGGCAAAGAAGATATTAAATTATTTAAATAGCTTTTCTAAAAGTCTAATTTATTCTACACATTAAAAAATGATCCTTAAAAAAATGCTTCCTAGCAAATACACTTTCATGAAAATATTTTTAGTCAGTGTCATTTGCTACTACTCCTACGTGATACTTCAGCTGAAAATATACAGCGTGCACTTTGGAGTTAACAGCTAGCAGAATAAGAATTTAATCAATTAGAAGTAATTTAGACTATTTCAGTATTACAATGCCTGAAAAATTGCAGCCAAGACAGAATTTACATTGCACTAGGTATCATACAAACATAGGGAAAAGCATTACATTGACTGTAACCTGTATATCACACTAAAAATTCAACACAGTTTTGAATGTTGAAGCTTCTGATAGTTTGATACAACCTGAACGGGAGATTTTGTAGGTTCTCTCAAATACTATGTTTTCACAACAGCTTGATTATTTTCCAATGATAAAAAAAAAAAACAGTAATTTTTATAAAAAAAAACCAAACCAAGCAAAGCAGTGCAATAAACCCTTCTTACTCTTTACTAGGTGCATCTTTGCGTATGTTAGAACACAGCACGTTGTTGTGGGTTAGGGCTGGGCCGGCCTCT